GCTAGGCGCCGACAAATACGGACCGGCGCCGCAACCGGCTCCCCCGCGGCCTGCCTCGCGTTGACATAGGCCCTTCCCGAACACCAGTGTAACCCCCACGCGGCCTAGGTATCGCCGCGCCCACCTGTCCACGGCGCGGCCTCTGATGGCGTATCGGATCATTGATGGTGCGATACATGTTTTGGTCAGATTTTCGCAATTAACGCGAAAAATTGCCAAAAACACTTTTTAAATTTCAAAATTGAAAAAAATAATTACAAAAATGACATGAAAGTGACCGTTTTCAACGTGTAAATTTAAAACGCTCTAGCGCAGCCATTTTTGAAGAAATCGACTTCAAATTTTGCACACGTGTTCATCAACCATATTTGTTTAACATATATTTCGGTTTTGTGAAAATTTTGAAAATTTCTTATATTTTTCTCTTGAGAAAGAGGTAAAGCTTCGCTACGATCGGCCTTCCGATCGACCGAGAAGATTCGTAAAGTTAGTTCGTATCTTCACCATTTGCGATACAACTTGCGTATCTACTTAGCCTACGATGTATTCACATTGTATTGTATTCACATAGTTTCGGAACTTTCCCCAATCGACTTGGGGCTATTACAGTTCCAAAAGGATCGGTAACAGCGAAAAACAGTGGCGTCATCACATCATACATAGTGAGCACAACACAAATGCCGCAGCCTTAATCAACATAACGAAAAATGATAATAATAATTGCTTACAATTAAATTGCAGGTTGCACGTTGTATGTAACATATACAATGGGATGGTTGTTCGAGATGTTCACAGCCACATTCAAGTACACTAACATACATGTCATCAAGAACGCAGGTATTTAGATTATGTCTGTACAGGTGGGTCACATATATGGCTCACTAACTTGCTAGCAAACGTTGGTATTGGCAGTAGTGTCAGATCATGAGGCAGAGCATTATATTGTCGGGGTGCGCGACTACAAAAACGTCTCCGGCCCATTTCTGTACAGGACATAGGTACCTGCAGATTGTTATTCTGCCTAGTATCGCGGTCGCGAATGTCCGACCTCAAAATGTGATGGATCCCTCCAATATCTGTTCCGATTCAACTTACGTTTGATCGCAACTGCGAGGTGCCTTGCGATCACATGGATCCCCCCAGCCTAAGATCTCCATAAGGGCCCTAAGCCAGCCTCTGAGGCCCACTTGCCGGCCTCTGGGGGTCCTAACCGGCCTATAGGGGGCCAGCTCTATGTAGGAGCTGCACACCCGCCTATAATGGCCCCACGGCCTACACCCATTTCTCTGAGGCGGCGACTGTGAGGGCCCTCACCGGCGCCCCTGAGCGCCACACCGGCGTCTCTAAGGGCCACACACCCCTAGCTCTGAGGCCCTACACCAATGGCTTTAAAAACCCTACATGGGCGGTTCTGAGGGCCCTTGTCAGTTACCAGCGACCCTGACGATCCCACACAGGTGACTCGGAGGATCCCAGCGGCGTCTGAGCGCACCATACCAGTTTCTGAGAACCCCACAAGGCTCCTGAAGGCACCGGTGACCTCTTAATATCTTCTTGTCGGCCTATGAAGGGTCCGTTCCGTAACAGCAGTTCTGAGGGCCCCACGCGCGCCTGTGATGGCCCTAAACCAGTGTCTCTGAGAGCCCCCACAACGGCGCCTGTGAGGGCCGTCACCGGCGACTGTGAACCCTCCACACCGGCGGCTCCGAGGGCCCCACATTGCCATATCTGAGGGCCCCACACTAGTGCCTCTTAAGGCCCTATATCGGCGGCTCTGGGGGCCCAACATCGTAGCTTCTAAAGGCCCCACAATTGCGCATGTGACGCCGTGACGGCCACCCACCGGTGACATTTGAAGGCCCCACACCGGCTACTCTGAGGGCCCCATCGGCGCTGAGTCCGTGCCGGTCTCTAAAGACGACCCCACAGGGTTTCTTAAGGTACCACCGGCCTTTGATGGCCCTTTGTCGGCCTCTGAGGGCCCATCGCCGGTCTCTGGAGCCCCCTGCCGGCTTGTAAAGGGTACGCGCCAGCAGCTCTAAGGGTCCGACACCCGTGTACGACGGACCCACACCAGTGTCTTTGCAACTTACCGTTTTTTCGCCCTTCTTCTTAAAACTAACTTTTCTTTTCTTAACATCTTTATTTCATGCATTGCAAGTTGTGTAATAGTTTTAGTAGTGAAAGACTGCAGAACCAATTATTTTCTTCAAGCAGAGTTAGTGGGAGTTATTGAGGGACAAAATCATTGGGGGTGCTAACTGGAACATTCGGGGGTGCCCGGAAAACCATTGGGGGTGCTCATTTGAGCATTGGGGGTGCTGCAGCACCCCCAAAGGTATACAAATCGACACCCATGTCGCCTGCCATGTTACAGCTACCACCAGCGCAGCTTTACTTCACATTTCACAGCGTCTGACTGCCACATTGTTTACCCATCACTAATCCCCACCGAACTCATCACTAATCCTCACCGACACCATTTATTTCCTCCATTTATTTCACATTTTCTTTTCAAACACCATATTTTTAGTATCCAAGTTGTAGTTTTTTTAGGGGGGGCAAAAAGATATGTTTGCCCAGAGGTTTTCCGTTTAGGGGGGGCAATTGCCCATTTTGCCCCAACGTAGATCCGCCACTGAGGTCAAGGTCAGGTCAGGTCAGGTCAGGTCACCAAAAACAAAATATAGAAAAGGGCGTGTGCGACACATGTTTTATGGGTCATTTTACTCATGGAATTCAATAGGCACACTCAATAAGTGATATGGACCACCTCTGGATGAATTTCAGGTCGAGGTCAGGTCAAGGTCAGGTCAAGTGAGGTCAAATTTTGAAGTTGGTTGTTAAGGCCTAAAAAGGTGTCTATCCGATGCAGTTTTTCACGGCGAATCGAATGGTGCTATTTTTGTTTCCGTACGAGGTCTAGAACTTCCAAAAAATTCATTTTTCAAAAAAAATTGTGTGTCGTGACGTCATAAAATTTTGAATAACTCCCACATTTTTGAACCGATTCTTCTCAAAATTGGTATGTAGGTGCACATAGACCACTTCTTTGACATATATTCCGGTTTTTTCGATAAACTCAAAATTTTTGGATTTTATAAATATTTTCCCAAAAAAGTCAGTTTTTTGGAAAAAAAATTGGCCAAAATCCAAAATTTTCAAAAAACCGAGATAGCCATTTGATAGACAAAGTAGAATCACGTATAACCTTTTTTGTTACGTCTTGATTCCTTTAAAAATGAAGAAGTTAGCGGCGTTTGAAATTTTGCCGTTTTTGAGGCGAAAATGGCGAACATGACGTCACTAAAACGTCAATTTCTCAAAAATTTTCCGACGGATTTCGCTCAAATTTTCAGGGAACGTGTCAAATTGATGTATGATAAGGTACTGAAAGTTTGACGTCGCTGGCGTAACGCGTTTAGAAGTTATTGGCGAAAAACGGGAGGGGGGGCAGATTTTGCCCCCCCCAGCGGGGCGCGGGTTAACCCGCGCCGTGCTGGTGGCCTGAACTTTCCGCCGAGTGCTGGGGGGGGGGGGGGCGTTTTCACGCCCCCCCGTCTAACTCGGCTCCTGGGCCACGTAGCGACACGCGGTAAGCGGCAATCGAAAGAGCGTCAAAAATAAGGACGAAAACACTTCGGTCATTTTTTGGGTCAGGTCAAAGGTCAGGTCACCAGAGGTCACCAAAGGTAAAATGTTGACTATTTCAACATTTTGGAAACTGCCAACGGCTATCTCGGGAACCGATAGAGCTACAGCGCCGCGGAAAAGCGCATTCGATAGCCCTTTTACAGACCTTTCTGAGTAATGTTCTCAGATTTGACCTCAGGTCAACGGTTTAGCCTCTAGAGGGCAAAAACTCCAAAAATAGCCGTTTTTACGAAAAACGTTTTTTCGTCAATAACTTTTGACTCATAAGCGCCATGACATTACTTTTGCCAGCATCGTGTTCCTCTCGTCGAGACGCGTCGAATGAACTATTTGTTGACCTTGAAAGGTCATTTTAAAAATTTGACCTCAGGTCAAGGTCATGACCTGACCGAAAAGGGTCATGTTGCATATCAGTCGATCCGTATCGTCGAGCTGAACACATCTGACGTGTTTTCACCGCTCTAGCACGTCTCTATCAAAAGTTATAGCCAAAAAACTGCTGGCGACCGTTCATGACCTGAGATGACCTCAGGGGCACACAGAGGGGTCACAGGTGCATTTTTCCTATTCAGTGTGTCATGTTTACCTATGAACCGATGTTTGAGAGCGTTTTGAACGATATTCGTCCAAAAGAGGCGCATTTCAATTTTCTCCCATTGACTTATAATGGAGAGGTCGCAAAATTGACCTGACCTTAGGTCACAGATATCAAAAATCCGAGATATACATTTTATACATACTGTTACTCATATCAATCGCTGAAAGTTTCAAAGTGATCGTTCAGTCGGTGTAGCTATAGCGAGCCTTTGAACTTTTTCTGAGGTAAGGTCACTTGACGTGACCTGGTGACCTGACCTTGAACGGCCTAGGTCTGAAATTTTCACAACATGTGCGGAAATGATGTAGGAACACGTGTACCAAAAACGGCGGCGCGCATTTTGAGATATTCGCGAAAAACCTGAGGGGGGGGCGTAAAAACGCCCCCCCCCCCAGCACGGCGCGGGTTAAGGCTCGACATTGTGTTGTCTACGATTAGACAGCTGATAACTCATTCCCGTACGTCGTAACTCTATAATGACCTTTGCTTATTGTCACATGTGCGCCGCATTCGCGATTGTTGCCGACGCCTGTTTGCAGGTCAGCCCACTACAGTTGTTATACATATCGAAAAACCGATAAACTTTTAGGCGAAAAAGGCTCTTTTTAAGGCCCATTTTTGATTTTTTGCGATATTAGGTAAAAAGAGAAGCTTCTTATCCTAGGAAAAATAAAATGGGAAATCTTTCAAAGGTGGCACACTACCTTTAATGACCAAGCTTGAATAACGTTTCTCCCATCTTCTACAGAGAGCAGCGCGAAGTCTCCCGGTGGGGGTATGACCGGTGGCGCCACATCTGCCCCTGGCGGCGGACTGCAGAACCAACTGCACGTAGACACCACCCAACAGGAAGCCGTACCGTACGTTTTTGGAAAAGAATCTTTAGTTGCGATTTTACTGGTGCTGGGATGTGTCTTCAGTATATCGACACAGCTCATTTTTATGGTTCTTTAGTCATATGCGTTTCCAGGAAGCATAGCTCAATGACCGCTTAACTGATGAGACAGATCCATAAAAAATCATCAAATTTCACTGTTGGCTATTTCAATGAATCACTTCTTGTAAAAAACAGCATGCCTTTTGTGCTCCGATTGTGCTTGTTTGCCGTGAAGCGTTTCTCTCTTACGCTTTTTTTGCATTTTCAACTAGTAACAAATACTATGTACATTAACTTACCCGTTTGCATCCTTTGCCCTTTCCCGTTTTGCCCTGTCCCGATTTATCCGTCAAATCATGAGGTACCCATTCCTCCATGCTAAAATCTCCTTTGTCAAGTGCTGTAACCTAACTCCATCTCTCCTTTCTGCGGACAGGTACAAGGCCCTGTACAGCTACCAGCCCCAGAACGACGACGAACTGGCTCTGACCGAAGGGGATGTCGTGTATGTCATCGAGAAATGCGAGGACGGATGGTACGGCACGATTTTGACGATTTTTAGCGTTTATTGCTGATGCGATTGTTGGAAATGGCTACTTTGTATGAAACTGATAAATTGTATACCTACAGTGACGCATTTTACATCGTGAAAACTGAAAAAAAACCATTTTACATCGCGTCACTCCGTTGTTCAGCGTCGATAATGATCATTGTTATTCTCTCTTCTCGTCATTTACCATGTTGCTCAGGGGTATGCCCGAACAATGTAGACAACTTGCAGCAGTTTCTATGAATGAAGTCAAGACCTGAATATGGTGTTTCATTTGAATGTACTTTGACCGTCGCGTATTGCAAGATAAGTCTCGTATATTTCAGTTGCTCATTAATTGTCGTACCTTCATTCACCGAATCCTTTGGTGTCATTACAGGTACGTCGGAACAAACGGCCGATCGGCCATGTTCGGCACCTTCCCCGGAAACTACGTGCAGAGAGTGCAGTGAACCTGAACTGGCGGTGAGTTCTCTGAGCTAATTATTTATGCCTTGTCTGAGGTGACAATAAAATGTGACCTGATGGTTAGTTGTCTTGACTCCACAAGCAAAACTGTAATTTATCTTCGTGAGCAAAATGCATTATGCATTACAGCTCCTGTGTTGTCCAGGTTATCACCAAGTAAATTTCTGGAGAAACCATTCATATTTTTCAATCCATATGCTAGTTAGAGACACTTATATTGTATTCTTTTCCTGTGATACAATGTCGTAATAATTTGTAGCCTATCCTAACAGGACGTCTATTTTGTTTCAGATGACGGAGCAGTTCAGTTTGAAGACCAGTGCCTTACAGCTACACGTTCAACAGCCGTCTTTACATATGAAATAGGGCGTAAAACATTTTCAACTGCGTCCTATGAATGAACTTTGTGTGTAAATTTTAGACGAGTGCGGTCAAGAAACCGGCCGCCTTACCTGTATTGAGGAAGTCAGTGCACACAACTAAAACTAATGACTTAACACTTGAACGTGCGCGCGAGGTATGTGCAGTTTTATAGGAATTTAAGACACGCAAATCCCACCCCCCACTTACCTATGCGTGTTGTTAGTATGTGAAAGAGAGTTTATACCGTCGTTCCTAGTGTGTAAGCCACGCCCACCGCTTGTCATTGGTCCACACGGATCGTGACGTCACGAGCTAGTCACCAATCAGAGAATGCCTCACTGCCATATGTATAGAATAGTGAGAGAGTTGAGTAGAAAAGGCGGGCAACCTTGTTCACATTTTTATAATAAAGCATGGCTTATTCTCATAGAAAAAAAAAACTACCCTTATGTCGTTTAATGGCAGTCATATTTCTTCCATTCTGAATCAAACCTCGGTGTCGATTTGCGATTCCTCGCGAATTACGAATTACATATACTTGTTAGAAACTAATCATTTGCAGATTAACATACCCTGTAAGCTGAGTAAGACAATGTGTGTGGATTAGGCAGCTGTAATGTTGGCCAGTTCCTGTTTGTTTTATGGATTACCTACCCTGCGCTTTGCGGCCACACAGTATATATGAGGCGCGCTTTAACACCAAAGATGCGTGTAAATCGCCCTTTTGTCATCAAGCGGTATGCTGTAAAACGCACTTTGCAGTGTCAGGCATGCGAATTCGTTCATACGTGAACCGCGTTTTAGGTCAAGCAGTGTGGTGTAATCCTTCCTTTAAGTTCATGCCGTGTGGGGTATGAACCGCGCTTTATGAAGCTCCACCGGCCGGTATATGCCTCGATACCGTGCTGTGTGAAGTGTAAACCCGGCTTTAGGAGTGACCCTGAGGCAGCCGGCAGTGTACCGTGTATGAAAATAGTGACGTCACAGTTTGAGAGCAAAGGTTTATACCGGGCTGGAATCTAGTGCTTCCAATTGTAACACTAAATACACGCTAAAGATAGTATAAGTAAGTGTTTTTGGGATGAATGTGTCTGTCAACTGGCATGGGAAACTGACTGAAATATCACTGACACGCTACAAAAGATGGCTGTGTAAAGGTATGACATCCTGTCATAGTATAGTGTCATTTTGTTCCCTCCGTGGCCGAGTGGATTAAAGCACCGGAATTCGACGCTTAGCCGGTAGTGAGAGCCCGGTTCAAGCCCCGGTGCGGGCGGCCACATTTAGCTCCTACGTGTAATAGCGTGCGTGTCTGTGGCAGGGGCCGCACAGTAGCCAGGTAACGTGAGTGAGCGGAGAGGGCCGTGTCCAGTCGTGAGGGCACGTTAAACGTTCGGACAAAATTCTGCCATACAGCTGGAATTGCGCGATCGGGTGGTGGGGTCAGGGTCAGCACAACAAGCTATGCTTAGTGCGGGCTCTGATTCCTCAAATCCACCCATTCAACCATTTGGACTAAATTTATAAAAAAAAAGTATTTGTTGTTGTTTTTTAATCAAAGTCGTCTCAAGGGATAATAATTTTTGTCGACCTCGGAATTTCTACTTTGACTGTGCAGCATGGGTAACGCACGAAGCACAACAGCGAAGTCCTACAAGTCCTTGTAAACGTAAAACGATTACAAAACACCCAATTGAAATGCGTTCTTCCCTAAGAAATAATCATGAATGAATAAGCGAATGCAAAACGTGTATTTGCACACAGTGGACTACATTGTGAGAGTGGCATCCTTGCTATTGGTGTTTCATTGTTTTAAAATACCTGATAGACGACACATGCCACTTACACGTGTTCGCCAAAGTTACATCAGCTTGCGAATCACATTAGCGAAACAGTGATCAACATCAAGCAAGCACAGCAAACGAACAAATATTCAGCGGACAACTCTTCATACGACCTTTCATTGTACAAATATGCAAACATTTGGTTTAACCCGCGAGTTGCTGGGGGGGGGGGGGGGGGCGTTAAACGCCCCCACTTTTTTCGCCGGGCCATAGCATAAAAACGGCGCGCCGCAGGCGCGCCAAATTTTGGGTACCTGTAGGGAATTCATTTATGTCATTAATAGAAGCCAAATTTGAGCGCCATCGGTCCGCCATCGGCGGCGCCGTGCCTTACAGCGCCTTACAGCTAAGAGCCAGTGCCTTACAGCTACACGTTCAACAGCCGTCTTTACATATGAAATAGGACGTAGAACATTTCCAACTGCGTCCTATGAATGAACTTTGTGTGTGAATTTTAGACGAGTGCGGTCAAGAAACCGGCCGCCTTACCTGTATTGAGGAAGTCAGTGCACACAACTAAAACTAATGACTTAACAGTTGAACGTACGCGCGAGGTATGTGCAGTTTTATAGGAATTTAAGACACACAAATCCCACCCCCACTTACCTATGCGTGTTGTTATAGTCTGTTCCATATCAAGCTTGCAGTTGGAGTTTCTTTGGCAGATCGCTCCTCCGCTCAAGAATTTGCGTCTTAAAATGTAAGAGCTGTATATACAGATATCACGCACTGCTTTCAGCAGGGCACTTCGGCTGCAAACTTGAAACGGAACAGAGTATAGTATGTGAAAGAGAGTTTATACCGTCGTTCCTAGTGTGTAAGCCACGCCCACCGCATGTCATTGGTCCACACGGATCGTGACGTCACGAGCTAGTCACCAATCAGAGAATGCCTCACTGCCATATGTATAGAATAGTGAGAGAGTTGAGTAGAAAAGGCGGGCAACCTTGTTCACATTTTTATAATAAAGCATGGCTTATTCTCATAGAAAAAACTACCCTTATGTCGTTTAATGGCAGTCATATTTCTTCCATTCTGAATCAAACCTCGGTGTCGATTTGCGATTCCTCGCGAATTACGAATTACATATACTTGTTAGAAACTAATCATTTGCAGATTAACATACCCTGTAAGCTGAGTAAGACAATGTGTGTGGATTAGGCAGCTGTAATGTTGGCCAGTTCCTGTTTGTTTTATGGATACCCTGCGCTTTGCGGCCACACAGTATATATGAGGCGCGCGTTAACACCAAAGATGCGTGTAAATCGCCCTTTTGTCATCATGCGGTATGCTGTAAAACGCACTTTGCAGTGTCGGGCATGCGAATTCGTTCGGACGTGAACCGCGTTTTAGGTCAAGCAGTGTGGTGTAATCCTTCCTTTAAGTTCATGCCGTGTGGGGTATGAACCGCGCTTTATGAAGCTCCACCGGCCGGTATAGGCCTCGATACCGTGCTGTGTGAAGTGTGAACCCGGCTTTAGGAGTGACCCTGAGGCAGCTGGCAGTGTACCGTGTATGAAAAAAAGTGACGTCAGAGTTTGAGAGCATACTGGGCTGGAATCTAGTGCTTCCAATTGTAACACTAAATACACGCTAGAGATAGTATAAGTAAGTGTTTTTGGGATGAATGTGTCTGCCAACTGGCATGAGAAACTGACTGAATATCACTGACACCGTACACGCTACAAGAGATAGCTGTGTAAAGGTAAGGCATCTTATCAGAGTATTTGTTGTTTTTTTAGTCAAAGTCGTCTCAGGGGATAAGAACTTTTGTCGACCTCGGATTTCCTACTTTAACCCGGCAGTTGCTGGGGTATTTCGCCACCCACCGTTTGCTGGGGGGGGGGGGCGTTAAACGCCCCCAGCCGATAACTCGAGAACCAATAGGCGCAGCGAAACGCACGAGGCGGCAAACGAAAGAGCGCGACGAGACGCTTCAGATGAGTACTTTAAAGTTGAATTTTGAGGTCACAGGTCGGGTCAAGGTCAGGTCAAACACCTGAAATCGGGCTTTCAGTAGCATGGACTTCAGGACTTCGCAATGGGCGCCTCTCGCCATAAACTCTGTCAAAACGGTGCACAATCCATCTTATAAGGCCTACAAGAGTGTCAGCTCCATATAGGGGTCAGTCAAGCATAGGTCAGGGTCAAGGTCAGGTCAACCGGGTAGGCACATATCCCCGAAAATCAAAACTGATATTCGCAGCCTGTGACACATGTTTTGTAGGTAATTTGGGGCGTAGAACACGATGGTGACATTCATTTTATCATATGTGTACGTGTTTGGCTCAAAAAGTTCAATTTAAGAAATTCATGTATCATGGTCGTGAAGTAGTCACGAAAAAATGCCAAGATTCAGTTCAAGATTTTGGAAAATGCGGAACGATAATCAATAATCGAAGATGGCCATTTGATTGATCATGGTATTGGCAGTCTAATGGCGTTTACGGCATGTCTGTATGTCTAGGTATTCTGTGATTTTATATGATTTTTGAACATATGCCGTTTTTGGTCGAAAACTCAGAAATCATGACGTCACTAAAACCTCGATATCTCAAAAATTTTCCGACCTATTTTTTTTTAAACTTTGTTACAATAAACTTTAATCAATTCCCTACAGGTACCCAAAATTTGGCGCGCCTGCGGCGCGCCGTTTTTATGCTATGGCCCGGCGAAAAAAAGTGGGGGCGTTTAACGCCCCCCCCCCAGCAACTCGCGGGTTAACCCGCGTCCTGGTGAGCCGCCCCTGGTAAAGTTATGAACTTGAAATTTAACCCGCGCCCTGGTGGGGTCTGTTTATAACGCGACCTGGTGGGGGGCGGGGCTATTTTTTGCCCCCCCCCTCGTATCTCCGAAACTACTGGACGGATCCGCAAAATTTAAACGGCGTTCGAAAGGCCTGTCAAATTTGTTGAGAGAAATCAAATTTCATTGACCTTGGGGTCACCGATGACGTCACAGGTCAGGTCAAAGATGGAATGTTTCACCGTTCACGGGTCTTCTAGGGAATGCGCTATAACACCGAGGAAAACGCATTTTGTCGAGAATCAGCGATAGGGCGTCAGTTGCCTAGTAGATATGTTGCTATTAGAGGTCACTGACAATACCAGGTCAGGTCAAAGGTCAGGTCACCTGGGGTCACAGGTCAGGTCACATGAACCCAACTTTAGTAAGGTTGTGTGATGCATATTTTATGGCCAATTTTTCATTTCCAACTCAATGGTGTTGGTTATAAGACTATCAGGTACGGCTAAGGTCACTTTCTGGTGAAGGTCAGGTCAAGGTCAGGTCAAAAAAGGTCAAATTTTAAAATTGATAGTTTTGCATAAAATGGGTATTGATTCGATGCAGCTCGTCACGGGGAGTCTAATGGTGGTCTTTGTTTTGCGCTACGGGGTCTAGAATTGCTAAAAATTGAGTTTGAAAATTTGACGTCATCAATTTTGAACAGTTTTTTCGCTATAACTTCGCCAAAAAAAAGAGGTATCAATCTCAAATTTGGTATGTGGATGGAAGGCAGTAAGGACTATCACATATATTCCGGTTTTTGCGAAGTTCAAAAAACTTTTTTGGATTTTCCGACTATTATATCCAAAAAATCTATTTTTTGATTTTGGGGGGTCAAAATCCAAAAATTTCAAAAATCCGAGATAGCAGTTTTGTAGCCCTGTCAATTCTACAGCTTTTATTTCTCTATCATTTTTCTGTATTTGCAAAGCTATAGGCCTGACAGCTCTTCCCGCAAAACCCTTTTTTGGGTCGAAAACGGCAGAACATGACGTCACTCTGACGTCATTTCCGGCCAACCTATCATAGCCTTTGGAAAAAAAAAAATTTGGTCACAATGTGTAAAATTGATGTCCGGGAGGGTACTGAAAGTTTGGTGACGATCGGCGCAGCGGTTCTGGAAATATATCGAAAAGTCTGGAGGGGGGGGGGGTGCAAAAAATAGCCCCCCCCCCCACCAGGTCGCGGGTTAAGCGTGGTTAACGCACGAGGCACAGCAGCGAATTCCTGCAAGTCCTTGTAAACGTAAAACGATTTTAAAACACCCGATTGGCAGACGATCTTCCCTAAGAAATAAACATGAATGAATTAGCGAATGCAAAACGTGTATTTGCACACAGTGGACTACATTGTGTGAGACTTTGTCATCCATGATGTTTCATTGTTTTAAAATAATAAACGACACATGCCTATAACTTACATGTGTTCGTCAAAATGACATCAGCTTGCGAATCACATTAGCGAAACAGTGATCAACATCAAGCAAGCACAGCTAACGAACAAACATTCAGCGGACAGCTATTCACATGACCCCTCAGTGTACAAAGGTGCAAACATTTGGTTTAAAAAGCGTGCCAACACCATAATAACTGGCAAAACAAAATTGTTTCACATTACAGCAGAAAAATTTCAGTAGCAAATACAAGCATAAACTAGGATCACAATTTACGTAGCAAAGCCTCAAAACGGCATGCATCGCATATCTATAATACCTATCGATCCTTCATTTCGTCTCTTTACATTCCATGGACCATAGCTAGCAAAAACGTAACAAACATTGTCGTATGGAAGACAAACGCATTGAACACGTACGCATACATGCACATTGAACAATGAACACGCGAAAATTAATATCATCCGCCTTAGCTTGTGTCTTATGTTACACACGACAGACCTGTTCGCTAGTTGGCACACACAAGAGGAACCTCGAAATAACTGAAAAGGTTCACAGAAAATGTTCCCAATCTAGTACCTATGTCAACACCGAAGTTGTGCAAAGGTGAAGTAAAATATCTCGTTTCATAGTGTGAGTGATTACAATTCGAAGTGCAAGGCCAAGAACGCAATCGCAGTAGATAACGTGGGCAACGAAGATACATCACATCAGTGAACAATTCACGACTGTTACATAAATTAATACCTTCTTCTCACCTAAAAACTTAACTTTAGCTTTCGTAAACATCATACGCCATCTAACAAAAACAAAAAGAACTACAGAATCCCCTACAGGATACCCAGTAGGGTAGTTTCCGTACCTCCAGCTGACCGTCGCCTCTCAGCTGCCATATTCACTTCTACCAGCGTATCAATGCTGTTCGCACTGGCCCCGTGGAGCAACCGCTGGGCCGCTAGAGACTTGAAGTTCAAATTCAGCGAGCTCAGGCTTGGGTATGTCCGCAAAGAAGCGTCCCCGGGCGAGGCCGCACGTTTTTCAGCGGATTCGCTTACTGGTTGGGAAGTTTGTGTCGGTGCGACGTCCGCCATTTTGTTTGTCGGCAGCGCTGCGTCGGCCATCTTGGATACCGTTGGCGAGGTGTCTGTCATCTTGGCTGGCGGTGATTTCACAAGGTCATGATAAGTCAGCGGGCGAGTCGTCCTCTGATCAGGGATTATACCTTCCGGAAGGGACTTGGGAGGTACCTTCGCTGGGGTTGGCAGCTCGTGGAAGATGTTCTTCACGCTAAGTCTCTCAGGTCGGGTGGGACTGATGGCCTCCAGAACCTTTTCGTTATTCATCTGCTTTCTTTCCAGCGCTTGAAGAACTGTCGCCGTGTTCTGGTCTTTGCGTTGATGAGAAGAAGTGATGTCACGGGAAGTGACGTCACTCGGCAGCTGTCTGACGTCAGATGTTGGGATGACATCAGCGCTTACTTTGTGGGCCTTCGGCGATGACGTGTTCCTTTCCCCATGTCTTGGGGAAGAGCGATCCTGATGATGTCTCGGAGAGGCATCTTCTCCGTTTTGGCGTGTCTTCAAAACATCTACCTTGTTGGAAGAGTTCGAAGTCTTTCTATCGCCCTCTTCCTTTTGCGCTGTTCGTGGTCTTGGTACTGGCACAGGCACAGGATCCTCAGCTACCAAAACACCAACATTTTGGTACACTGGCTCACTTTGCCGCTTGCTGGACTGACCATTGACAACATCGCCATCCATTTCACCATTGTAAACATCAAAGTACTCACGATTCTCAACATGCCGCAACTTTGCGCTAGGTTGTGACATGCTCCTCTTTTGGCTCTCCTCCAACTTTCTCCAAACTGAGGAACGCGCGACGCTTTCTTCGTTGACGTACCTGTGGTTACGCTTGATCTCACTAGTCGCAACGCTTCGTGGGTGTCTGGGCTCGCTTACCTTTGCGTCCACTTTCAGGGCACTGTCACAGCTAGGTTCGGATGATTCTCCGTTGGGGAAGTGACTTGATTTCATCTTGAGGTTCTCGTAGTCTTTGCTGGGAACAGAGACATGAGGTTTGACAGATGTTCGCGCATTGTCGCCATGGTTTGGTTCGTGCTGATTGGATTCATGACGTTTCGATTCGTGATGAATCGTCTCATGACATTTCGATTCAAGACGGTTTGGTGCCTGTCGGGTTGCCGGATGGCTTTCTTCTGGACCCTTCTTCCTAGAGTCAACAACCTTGAGTTTCGAGTCGTCATGACGTCGCCTAGGCGACTTGTGCTCCTTTCGCTTTGCAGGAGACTCACTAGACGTTCTTCCGTTGACTCTGCGATCATCACTTGCCTGAGTAAGACTCGAGTCATGGCGACTAGAACTATTGCGACTCGAATCTTGCCGACTAGACTCACGACGGATCGATTCTCGATTCTTCGCTGAGCCATCTTTCGTTTGTCCCGGTGGCTCTAGTTTTGCTCCCCGTTCCAGAGATGTCGCTGGCGAAGTATCGGACCTTTCCAGGCTTGACCCACTGCTTGTTCTACTCGAGCTGTGTCTTGCTCGAGCTTCGAGTCTCTCCCTTACATGTCTTTGCGCTAGTGACTCGGCATGACTCGAAGAGTCACCAACTCGCTCACTAGCGACTCCATCACGACTCGCACTTTGTTCGGGTTTCTTCTGACGAAGACCGGGCTCTAGCACTCGTAGTAGATCTCCAGAAGGTTTCAACCTCTCTCCTCGCTTCCTAGGTGATCTGTGTCTCCGTCTTGACTTCGCCCCAGTTTTCTCTTCTTCACCAGCAGTTTCAGCTAGAAACTCTGCCAGTTTCGTGCGACGAGGAAGCGTGGACGATCGAGGCGCCACCTGTGGTTGACATGGGAAGGCTGAAGTTTCGCCGGCCTCCGCTAGGTGGTCCATGCTCCCGTTGAGAGGCCGGGACTTCTTATGTCGGCGCGGACGAAGCACCTGTAAATATTGATAGAGCCATCAGTCATGTGCCAGAACAAGTCTTACGTGTTAGGCCGGCATACGAAATGTAACGCAAATAAACGGCATTTGACATTGAACAAAACGGTACAGCAAAAAGAGGAAAACGTTTTTGCATCAGACATAAGCAATATTGCTGAAAGTTAGCAACATTTCACTTTGAAAGTATTTGAACGATACTTGATGCGGTCTTTGTTGGGTAGAAGGTAGGAGGAGTTGAACCCACACTCGATGACCTCACCTTGGGCGATCGCTCAGCTGGCGGCCACTGTCCGCCGCAAGATGGCGCCGTCTGCGTGCCGATCGAGTGTAGGTGAGTGACGTCACCGCTGGTCCACTCTGGTGGAGGGAACTGGGCGCTGAATGTGGCCAGCTGACGACGGGGGACGGCCAGGCGGAGGAGTTTGGAGAACAGAGATGGACGCTCCACTGGAACCGGTAGATAAATTTTCGTTAGGTTATTAGTGACGCACCAGTGGAAACGGTGAAAACGAAGGGCTAGTCGATTTTAAAGAAATCAGTAGAAAAAGACATCAAGAGCGGGAAATCGTACCACGGTCCGTAGTGCGGGCATTTGCTTCCTCCGCTGCAAACGGTACAAACGAGACACGGTTACCGCATAGTTCATGCCTCAACAACAAACGACCCATTTGCCTCATTGGTGTACCGACAAACACAAATTTATCGAACTTCATGCACTGGACACATTGAAGAACCACACAAATTTCAAGTTTTAGCAAAATCACTAAAAAATCAACAACGTGAAACAAAGCACTCACAACGGGAACACTCACAGACACTAAACTCCTCGCTGGTTGCCGTCTCGTCGGTGAAGGTTCTTCTGATCACAGAGTGCTGCAGACACAGGCCACTCGGGTAGCGCATCGAGCTGGCGCGACGGAAGTGCTCCTGAAACATGAAGTGCGAGAAGTGAGGAACGTTTCACCTGAGGTACCCATTGCGTGAGCACGGTTATTGGCGGGAAGAAATGAAAGACTCACGTTGGGCCAACTCTTCGCTAGGACTGAGCACCCTTTGTTTTATGGTCCCTTACATTAGCCCAATATGTTACTGAAAGCAGGAAATGAAAAGCGAGAAATGTGAAAATCAGTCCAATAAAAGCACGATCCAAACATGTCACAACAACGTATAAGTTATGGTATACTTATATACCTACGGGAATGGCGAACGAGCTCTCGAAGGAACACTCTATCGGTGGCTTTTTAAAATAGGAGTAAAACATGCGAAATTTTGACAACTACATTTATCGCATTCTGCTGATTTGTTCCAACACAATTTTACCTTTCTCGTCTATTGGGTACAAGACTATATCATCTCTCTCTCTCTGATTGGCTGTAAAACTTCCTCATTTCACACTGATTGGCTGCAGTACTTCCTCACCTCTCTCTAATTGGCTGTAGCACTTACTAACGGCTCTTCGATTGGCTGTAGCACTACCTCATTTCACTCTAATTGGCTGAAGAACTTCCTTACCTCTCGTTGATTGGCGGAGAGTTTCAGCGAGTGCCTCCGAGCGAAGACAGCCAGTCCTGGAGGTGGCGCTAGTGAGGCACCCGGTAGAGGACGCGCGTGTATTACAGGGTCGGTGTCGGTACCTGACAGACAGAACACGGCGGGTTAGGTTCACTCATTGAAATGTGATTTGTCATCGCTTAGCGTAATGCACGTATCCCCCAGCGTAAACCAAATCCACCCCTCCCAGCGTTACATTGTTCTTCGAAAACTTCCATGTCCATGCCTCCTATACTTTCCATTCCTTCCACACATCCAGCGCCATCTCCAAATCACCCAGCGTAAACCCATACCTACAGTTTTTCCCATGCTTTCTAGACATTACAGCCGCCAATTCCTTATCTATCATACCCCATACACCCATACATCCCATACCTCCCAGTGATATCGCCCACGTCAATCTGTACCAACCGATACACCAGTTTTCCCTGACCTGATGGCATTGTTTGTGTTGATCTAAAATCCATCCACATAACATGGTTTCCAAACATTCCCAATGCACCACCATGCCTCTGATACCAGTCAACACAAAGTATGCTACTTCGGCTACTGGCTAAGTTTTCATACCTCCCAGTATCACGTCTCCCAAAATGATACATATCATGCCTTCAATATTATCCCATTCCTCCCATACCTCACATAACAGGGTGGGGCAGCATAATCGGGAATAAATATCAAACGGGATTATTTGGTCATGAATTTAAAAATATAGCTCCAAGCACTATTTTAACAACATCCCATCAATCGGTCACCTTTTACCTATCCCTCATCCTATTTGACCGCCCTTCGCGTCGATGACCTTCTCAAGGCGGGTCCAAAAGCACGCGCATGCACGTGCAGCCTCCTGCTTGTCCATGATCGCCCATCAGCTTCGTACCTTGCACTGAAGACCGTTTTTACTGATGATAAGTTGTTCATTAAACTTCTACCAAAAAACGCTCCATATAAAGAATTTGGTCGGATTTAAATCGGCGGAGTTGAAGGACCAGAAGTTTTTGGTTCATCTCAGGTGGAGGTGCCCTACACAATAACATGTCGTCCTCACTGCAGTACCAGCACGGACAGAGTCCTCGTAAGACGTGATCTGGACCGTCAGTGATCCTCTCTTCCGACGACTCCACGTGAGTCTGCCAGAGCGTGGATGTATTTACCAGAGGTGCTCGTTTTATCCGGGCTCGATGAAGTAGGGTGCACCACGTGCACCTCCCTTGAAGACCACCCATAGGTCCATCACCTCAACAGGATGTTTACTTTGCATGACCGCTGCAATATTCTCGATACAATCCCCTATATGGCATGCCATTCTTTTTTATCGTATTCCAGTCGGTGATAAGATTTTTGGTCGCTGAAGTTTTGAACATTGTTTCTTTTTAATATGCTCAAGAGCTTCTTCCTTATATTCAAGTGAGTCATCTTGTATGTCCTCTGCTAAGAGTTATTTTACGACGATTACGTTAACTTTTTGTCCTAAGTATCCCCACACAATCCTTATCGTCCGTGATAACACGTTGACCTGTCCAGCAACCTTTACGTGGAATGGCATTGTTTTAAACAAAATGTTCTTGTTTTACTCGTTTAACATTAGTGTCTATGGGCGCGCGCAAAGCACTTGGAGCACCGTCGAACTATTTTGCTGCTCTTTTCCAGGAAGTTGCATGCTCATGGATGTAGTCATGTCAGATGATGCACAACTTTTGGGCGTTTCATTGCCATGATATAATTTATCAAAATAATGCCATGCCTACTCATGACCAGAGCCCAAAAAGCATTCCCGATTATGCTGCCCCACCCTGTACCTCTCAGAATAATGTCCCCGTGCCCACCCCCATCCATACCTCCCAGTATAATGTCGGCCAAGTCCGTCTGCACTGCCCGGTACACCAGTTTTCCCGATCTCATGGCGTCCCGCTCCATCTCGGCTGCCAACTGACGCTGATAGGTATCCGGGGTGACGATCTGGTAGCCCTGACGAGTGTGGTAGATCTGTGGACAGAGAACGTAGGGTAATATTTAGGGTATTTGAGTAGGCGTAAAGTATGCCAACTGACGTTGGTAGGTATTTGGTGTGACGATCTGATAGCTCTGACGAGTGTGGTAAATCTGTGAACAAGAAGGGTAGGGTTTTGCGTAAGGAAGTAGAATATGGTAGAGTGAAACGTAAGGTTTTAGTGTGAGGTAGGATATTACGTAGGGTATTAGTGTGGGGTATTCCAACTGACGCTGATAGGTATCCGCGGGCCCGTTTCACGGCACGACGCTACAGTGCGCTACGCTAGCTACGGCATTGGGTTTCCATGGAAACATCAACAAACTCAGACGTTTTCAATGTTGGAGCGTCCCAGTTTGTTGACATTTCCATGGAAACACCATATGCATAACGCGCTGTAGCGTCGTGCCGTGAAACAGGGACCGATGTGACGATCTGGTAGCCCTGAATGTTGTGCAGCCTCTGCCGATGTGCTAAGGCAAAAACTACTATATGAGGTCAGACTCTGACTTCACATAGCAGTTACTTATTGCCTTAGCACAGCAGTGTGGTAGCACAGCAGATCTGACGAGAGATGGTGTAGGGTAATGCTCTCCAGGGCGGTCTGAACATGTTTGATATGTATCTACGAACCGACAGGGCTGAATAACACGTCACTAGAAACGGGACATGTGTTTCTGCTTGTATCATGTATGTCTGATAAGTGTGGCAGATTTAGAGACAAATCGTGCTGGGTATTTTGCTACGACATTCATTCTTTTCATTCATTTTTTTTTTTTTGGCAGAGGTCTGTGTTGTAACTTGTAAGCGGTTGATACCTATTCCAAGATATATTACAAGATAAAAAATGAATGCGTAAGAAAATACAAGATAACTCGTAACTTCAAACATTGTAACTATAGGTGAATGCACTAGAAATCGACCATGTTTCGGTTTTATCAGATTTATGTAGAGCTTTATTCCCACACTTACGTAGCAGTCCCTACCTTTCGCTCCCGCACCAGACGTCCAAGGGTTGAGAACACCAGTCCACGATCTGGCAGCTCTAGATGGGGAAAATGACGTCTCAGATGACAGCACACGTCATCCAGAGTTACCTATGACGTGAGAGGAGAGAACGTCAGCCAGAGTTATATCATCTTTATCAGTTGATGTTATTGGTTTCTGTTTGTCCTTAAGTTAGAACTGAGCAGGGAACTTCAAACGAAATGTTACAATGATTTTGCTGATATAAAAAACTTGGTTTATAAAAAAAGCATACGAATATGATGCCTCTTTGACATACAAATGTTTATATGTATAGGATCTCTCTCCCTCTCCCCCTCTCTCTCTCTCTCTCTCTCTCTCTGTCTCTGTCTCTGTCTCTGTCTGTCTCTCTCTCTCTCTCTCTCTCTCTCTCTCTCTCTCTCTCTCTCTCTCTCTCTCTCTCTCTCTCTCTCTCTCTCTCTCTCTCTCTCTCTCTCTCTCTCTCTCTCTCCCTCTCTCTCTCCTCTCCTCTCCCCTCCCTCATTCTTCCCCCTCCTCCCTCCTTCATTCCTCCCTCACTCTTACCTTATACTCCGGTCTCTCTCCGTTCAGCGACTGTATGACATAGCAGATGGCCTCGGGCAGTGATGTAAATTGACCCGGTGCCACGGGGGTCACGTTGTAACCGTGCGCCTCACCTGGGGGCAAACAAGGTCAAAGGTCAAGTTAAGGGTTCAGTGGAAGTGTTCGTTGACCCGTGCGCCTCGCCTGGGGGGCAAACAAGGTCAAATGTCAATATGGGGATTCAGTGGAAGGTGTTGGTGGTGAATAGAGTTTGAAACCGTGAATAAAACAGGGCCCAATGCCGAGCCTTGAAAGACGCCCATATTAGAAGATTAGAAGAGTCAGACATTTCGTTTTTCTCACAGACAATGACAATACAAAAAACGCCCATATTGTTTGGGAGTGGTCGTGACTGTACCCTACGTCGGATTCCATCAGTTACAGAAACACTCTGTGCGTGATCCTTGGACCAGAGAGCCTCACGACGCCGTGAAATGCTAGTTTGTCCAGTAGGAGCTAACGATCGATGACGTCGAAGCATTTGCTGAGCTCATAAGGCACGGGCACGATATTTCTCCCCTATCCGTGGCGGCTAGGATGCGGTCAGTAACGGTAACGGACCGAAGAGCTAGCTGTCTCGGCAAAGTGCTGGGTTCGGAAGCCATGCTGGCTGGATGCCAAAAGATAGTTTTGGGAGATATAATGGTATGTATGACTGCTGTTGAATGACTCGTTCAACAGCTTTCATGATACCTGGAACTAGGGACACGGATCGAAAGTTGCTTGGGTCGGTTGGGCTTCCGGATTGGAACCAGGGTTGTATACGACTCAATCAATAGCAATCAATTCAATCACGACAAATTTGGGAAACCAATCAAATCAATCAAGTCAGAGCAGTTTTCGGGAATTGATTCAATCGACTCAAACGCGACAATGAAAGGAATCAATCAACTCAATCAAACGACTCAAACCAACACATACATTAGGTTTTTTGCCCCACCAACTTGGAAAAGTGTCCATAGCAGTCTGGTGTACCTACCTACCTACCTTCCTACCTACCCACAGAAGAAACATAAAAATATTGTCATTTAAAATTATAAATTGCCATGCCATTCAAAGTTTCTATGTAATAAGGATGGATACCTAGTGATGGACAGGTGGATCATGATATTGAGGTTCAATGGGTAGAATTGGAGCAGAAGTTTCATTTAATGGGTGCAAAATAACCCAGTAGTTGACTCGCCCCTTAACCCGCGCCCCGTTGGGCTCTGCCGAGCAACGCGCCCGGTTGGGGGGGGCCATTTTGGCCCCCCCCTAAGATCTCGAGAACCACGCAACATAGCGACAAGCGGTAAACGGCGTTGGATAGCCCCAACGGGGAACTACCTTGTGACCCAATTTTATTGACCTAGGTCAAACCGATGACGTCACAGGTCAGGTCAAAGGTCCAATTTTCACCGTTTACAGGCACTTCAAGAAATGCGTTGTAAAATCGAGTAAAATGCATTTCATTGAAAATCATCGATGGGGAAATGTTCTTCAAACACATATTTTGCTATTTGAGGTCACTGATACCAGGTCAGGTCACAGAGGTCAGGTCACGGGGGGGTCACAATATGAAAGTGTCGTGTGATACATGTTTTATGGTCCATTTTACATGACAAATGCGATCATATGGGTCAGGCAGCCTTTGGGGCCAGCTTAGATCACGTTTCGGTCAAGGTCAGGTCAAGGTCAGGTCAAGGTCAGGTCAAATTAGGTCAAATTTCAAAGTTAATATTTTTGCATAAAATGGGTATCGAATCGATGGAGCTCGTCACGGGAAGTTCAATGGTGGTCTTTGTTTTGCCGTACGTGGTCTAGAATTGCTAAAAATTGAGTTCAAAAATTTGACGTCATCATTTTTGAACAGTTTTTTCGCTATAACTTGGCCAAAAAACGAGATATCGATCTGAAATTTGGTATGTATATAGAAGAGCGCTGGGACTATCACATATATTCCGGTTTTTTTTCGAAATTCGGAAAATTTTTGGATTTTTTCAAAGTTTTTCTAAAAAAATCAATTTTTTGATTTTTTTTTTGGTCAAAAACCAAAAATTTTGAAAATCCGAGATAGCAGTTTTGTAGCGCCGCTTTTTGTCTACTAGACCATATAAAGAACTTTGAAATTGCTTGATAACTGTAGATTTGGTGAGCGTTTCAAGATTGCATGTTTTTTGCTCATTTTTGCTCGAACATGACCTCAGTTTGACCTCAATAACTCCTGACCTAAGGTGACCTAAGACTTGAAATTTGGTGTGAAGGTGTCAAATTGATGCCCGGGAAGGTGCTGAAAATTTGGCGGCGCTGCGCGCCGCCGTTTTCTTGCTATTCAGGAAAAACCACAGGCGGGGGCCAAAATGGCCCCCCCCCCCAACGGGGCGAGGGTTAACTCAAATCACCACCTTTCACCTAAAGGTTGTCAATTTAATTTTGGCCAATTTTACACTAAATATCAGATATTCCGGTTGAAAGTTGGCTGCTCGGATTTTGGCAGTGTTCGTGATTTGGACAATTTACCCTATACTGCACGTCTATTTTAATGGATAATATGCATCAATAACATATTAACCATAGGGAAATAGAAATAAATATCTTACCTGCATGTGACGGTTTCAGTTAGACAGAGACTGACGGGCAGCCTGAAAAATCTTTCCACACAATGTGCATTTGAGGCGTGGGATGTTGTCAGATTGGGAAGGAAGAGATTTGAAGTATTTAGCGGTCCACGACTCTGGACGTGGCATGTCAATGTTAGGTACCTATGTGAAGAATTCAAAACATTTAATTGCAATACAATTTGAAACTGTTAGGACTGGGGGATAAGGATGAGGATTAAAAATATATTTAAAAGGAAATGGAGAGGACAGGGACTCTGGAACCACAGGATAAAATAAGGACAAAAGGAACAAAGAAAATTAAAACGCGAAAACGGCACGGGTGCGACTGTGAATAAAAGAAAACGTTTTGCCAATAAGTATGCTAAGCTTTTATAAATCCTTATTCTACGTGTTTTGATTTTTTTGTAAGATGACGTCATTGATTATCATGTACTATGGTAGATCATCAAAAAATAAATCGGTTGTACAATTTAATCATTATTTCATTTGAAATAAAACCACTTAATAATATTCGGTAAAATATTTTAAGGAAAATGAAATATATTAAATACGTTATGCTTAGGCTCTCAGGAGAAAAGGATCAACAAACGTTCTGCTGCAATTTAAACAATGCAGCAAATTAGCTATTAATTGGTATACGTAAACGTAATTAGCGAGACGAAAACGGCGCTTTTGTTTCAGTTATTTTTGTAGGGGTTTCAGATATTTATAGAGTTCAGTGGGTTGTTTCTGAGGAGATGTGGAGATGTGAATTATTAATTAATCACACTTTATTAGTATATAGGGCCTTGCACTTTATCATCTGGATAAAAAAACGTTTCCTGCTGAGTGCAGAAAGGTAGGTAGGTGCATCGCCAGGTTCTATCACCAGGATTGGAGCAGTTATGAGTTATTGCAGTTGAAAGTCAAAGTTGGCTGTTCATGTTTAGGCCCTGTTCTTTATTTGGCCATCTACCCCATATTGCAGTTGTGATGACAATTGACAAGCAGTTTTCAGTGTAGTTTTGTGATCTTTGATGTCATCAGTTGGTGTCATTATTTTTCATCAACTAAAACTTATTTGAACTTTCCATTCATTCGACTCAATCATACGAGTCACTCTAATTTTCGGGAATCAAATCAGTCAACCAGTCGCTAAAGTCAAACGAGTCAGTCAACCAGTCATCTCGAAAAGTCAATCGACTCAATCCAATCAACTCAAAATACGCGTTGAAACAAATCAATCAATTCAATCGACTTGATTGGTATACAACCCTGATTGGAACATATGATGGACTATCGAATGCCTCTGTTGCTCAGAGATACCAGATCCGAGATGCCGATTTGTTTATGCTGTGATGTATGACCCAGCCAGTAGGGAGGAAACTGGTCTTTAGCATGCGGATGCACACACTGTCCGCTCCGCTCCGCAGCCCGAAAGGGTATCAGTGCCAGCAATTCGCATAATTCGGATTTTTACGTCTGCAATCCTATGACAGGTCAAAGAGAAAATGGAGCAATATTATTTAACGTAAACTAGCCTTTTTGCCTTGCGACAGCTTAGTTAGAAATACCTGTTCATAGCTCTCGACCGCTTTTTCCGAGTGTTTTTTTTTCCTGTCAGTAGGTATTCCAGATAATCGGATGTGCATTCACGTCCTCACCACGGCGAAGCTGGTTGAGACTCACCCGGGCCCGGATTTAACCATGCTGATTTATATCTACCCGCTATTGAAGCACGACCCCTCCCCAAAAATTATCATGTTCACCCCACTAACAATGAAGGGCAGAACACCCTTCGTCTACTTGTCAGTTACATCCGTGTACGTGACTAAGATCCATGCCACAATTTTTCTTATGTGCCGGTCCTGCCCATTGAGCGGAAATCCTTTCGTATCCTTCTCCTCGTGGCGCCACCCTTGCTTACCGGTCTGTGACGGGCCCGAATTTCACAAGCTGCTCAAGTACATTTATATTCACCTGAGGTTCTGCTTGTGCACGGGCGTAAATCTGCATTCTTTCGAAGGTTTACTTCTGTTTGCATGGCTCCATAGCCAATGACCGCTGCTAATAGTCATTTTTTAAAACACTCTTGGGTGTGCTGTTTGAGGGGGGGGGGACGTCCCCTGCATTTCAAGACTGGGGAGCGGACGCGCCCCCCCCCCGTTCCCGCTTTCGACGCCCACGAATCTGACGAATGACGTGTGCTACCTCTAATATACATGAAACTAGGCGACTTTTACTTGCACTACGACGGAATAGGCTGAACTATGACGAATATCGTGCCGCGATTCAGTATATGAATGCCCTATGCCAAACTGTCGAACTCGCCTGCACTTCTGCTCAAATGTGTGCACTGCCGCCTAAATTGGGCGTAATTACGTCTAAAAGCCAAACAAGTGGCCCATAACAACGAGAGTCTGGTTCGTTCGGTGATCCGACAGTTGTGCATATCTGCGGCTCGTCCAGCAAAACGTCATGCCGGTGACCAGTTA